TTGGACATGAGAGGTCTAATGACCATATGCATGCAACTTCAATAGGGACAGATTATCTCACACCAGAGGAACGTCGGCATCGTGAAGAGTTGAAGACGAGATTACGGGAACGGTTTGCATTGCAACAGGTCAGTATATCCCTCAATTCGCATTTCGCGCATCGTCTTCTACTTCCTTCCCGACGGTGACTGAAACTTGTTTATAGATGGCTAGGAACCTACGTGCCAAGCTCCAATATGCGGCATATAAGGTCCAACATAATGTCGCCCATCTCACATTCGAAGAACTTGAGCGCCGAGTTATCTCAGAACAAGTCCGGTCCCAGGATTCGAGGATATCCACGCCTGCGACCCTTGCTGCAAGTGCTACGAAAGTCTGTACCGACCGTGTGGCCCACGAACGAGCCAGTCCTCGCGCGCCGACGTGGAACGCTTCAAGTACATCATCGCCTCAGTCGTGCCACATAGTGAGGGGCGAATCAAGAGGCGCTAACGCCGCCCAAAGTCTGTATGCTTCCATGTTCGCTCCTCCATCTTCGCCAACTTTGTCTCGGCATACCTATCCCGTCAAATCTCAACCGGCGCCGACGCCCTCAACGTTCGTCAACGGACAAAGATATCACGCCGGCACTTATGGGTCGCCTGTTGTCACGCATATGCACGTCGATAAAGAGCATACTCCCTCTATGGGCCACTCAGGTTCAGGCGCGTTAAAGCGGAAGGCGCTTGAGGGTGCATACCGTCGCAAGTCAAGCAAGCGTACGCACAACAACAACGCAGCAACGGTTTCTCACCGTTCAAACGAAGACCTAGAGGCGGCTGCAACGCTGGCAGACCTTCGTAATAGTCATTCACGCTGCAAAGGGAGGTCGACGCAACCAGTCATGCCACCAGGTTCCGTGCGTACTTGATGACCTCGTCAAACACTGGGCTCATCTCTCAATTGTTTAGAGACCCTAAGCATCGTATAGCGTCGTCCATGTACGCAGTTGCCAGTCACTGCCTTATTACTACCCTAGTCTTGAAGCACGCCAAAGCTCGGAGTCGCCATCTGATGTCTATGGGGAAGCACGACGCGCCTCCTTTACGTTTCTCCTGCCCAAGAGTCGCTATGGGAGGACTTCACGGTAGTGAGGTCAAAGGCGTTGAGAGTTTGTGAATGGCATAGTTTCCTGCCTGAAAAGTGTATAGGTAGTGCGAACCGCTCAGTAGTAGGCTGCACCTGAACCACCATCGTCGGTTATCTCCATCCATTCCTGGTGAGATGATATGACCCGAAGGAACGACGACGATGGACTGGATGTGATTTGTCTCATGGGGAAACGGCGTATGGCCTTTAGTGGCCGTTATCTGACGAGGAACTGGCCGTGCCATTGTGCGCGACATGGTAAAAACATGCATCCCTCCGTGTACGAAACAGGCCTGCTGATTTTGCATTATCCAACACCGCCCTGCACCCGACGTACTCCCGGCAGGTCTTTTGTGCCGTCTTCGGTCGACCAGCTCCGGTACCCCTACCGTACGATTAGCACTTACCACAATTCGGGCGCGGCCAACATTGCCCTGCACTCAATCAAAGTGTGATCGACGACCGGTGCTTCCATCGCCGAGGCAGCTGCTCTACTGTGTCCAACCTCAGCTTTACCGCCAGAATCATCTTCTCATGTATGCATCGCTGCGCTCTTTATCCACACGTAAATACGAGATATGAAAGCTGTCGATGAGTATGGACTGCGAGGTCTACCTCTGCACTTCGCCGTCGGGAGTCGCTTTGCGGGCATCAGCGCCGAAATTTGATGTGACCGATCTTCGACTGGCCTCGTTGTGGACCCTCCCATACAGCATTGAGTCTCGATGTACATTGGAATCAAAGGCATACGCTGGCGAGAGAAGGGGATGGCAAAGAGAAGGCAAGATGGCGTCTTCTATTTCGTTGGTGGAACCAGAGGGCCGACGCCACGTGCGACCTCGTTCCAGCTCGGCTCTTGCACAGGACTACCACTACCACCCAGACGGCTACCACTTCCGAGGTTCGGCGACACGATGCGCGTTTTGAGTTTTACTCATCCACTTCCTTGATACCAACGTCTGCCACGAAGGATTTGAGCATCAGGACAACGCGCAGTGCTGTGTCGTTTCCAGTCTTTGTGATTCAACGCCGACGATGGGGACTCTGGTCGGGATCTTGTATACGGCAAGTCATCAAGAACTCTTGCAGGATCAGGATGTGCTTGAACTCATGATAGTACTCGCTAGATGACATCGCGGGGCTACATAGGTATTGGGTCGATACACAGGATCGACGTTGCGTGGTTCCGAAGCTGTGAGGTGCTCATAGGAAAGGTACAAATCCCCGTGTCGCCGAACGAGGGTGGAACGACTCGGAGACGGAGTCGGATGTGAGCGAACTTTGTCGGAATGCTGATCGCCCGTATTGCTGACGTTCGGCTAACAGGATTGCCGTGATCTCTCCATATATACGTGGCTGACCCCACGAGAGCGCGACGAACGTGCTTGTTCTACCATGGATCTCATTAACAACCGTCACTTACACACTGCCATCTCCCTCTTGACCGTCATTGAGCGCGAAACGAACAATGGCCACGAACCCCTTCTGGGCATCCTGCGCGCAGTTGGCGCGAAGCAATCTTCTGGCTTCTCGGTGCCGCGAGTCCAACGAGTCGACTTCCCCCACCGCACCATCATGCATATTCAACTTGATGCCGCCTTGTGGGTGATGGCGGAGTTGGTGCAGAATCAACGGGCGGTACGCACACTCATCCTTGCTATTCGAGAATAGCCCAGTTAAACTACCGGCAGCTCTGGACAGTCCATCTTCCTGTTATATCTCTCATGTCTCGGATGTATCTCAGCCGTAAAATCAACATTATCGGCGTCTGTGGCAAGTTGCTTCAGGATGTGGAAAGAGCGGATGATATCGCGAAGTATATGCGGCCTGTGGATCATGTCATGAAACAACTCGTCCTCCACCGCACCAGCCCCGTATTCCGCGCCGCCAGAGACCAAGTCACCGAGCTCGCTGTCCAACAGATGTTTTGTCTGTGGGCACATCAGAAGTCAGTCATCGGCTTGCTCGCTATCTCACAGACTCACATATGTGCAGGACCAGCAAGCAACCGCCGATGGTCTTCTTCAAAGCGCTTCGTCTTCGCCCATTCTCCGACTGTCCTCTGTCCTTGCTCTATGACGAGCTAGACAATATTACTCTAACCATTCCGCGGCCTATAGCTGCGCTATCGATCGCGGAGCTCACAACTACGCCTTTCGACGGCGTGCGGGCGCAGTCGGACTATCTCGGTAGACTCTTGGCCGGCCATGTCCTTACGCGTGCGTATGTTGAAGCATTATCTCCATCTCAACTCTACGCCCTTCGTCCTGCCTCGGATATCTGGCCAGGAGATCTGCATTTCTGCTTCAGATGTGGGAAATTCCTCACTTCGGCGGCGACTCGGCGGCATTGCTCGGCTTGCAAGAGGATCACATATTGCGGAGAACTTTGTCAACTTGCGTGAGCGCTTATATCATGCTCCACGATCCAGCACTGAGTGAATCGTATAGGGATTGGAGGCGCGAGCACAAGTTTTTCTGTCCGGCCTTCCAATTGATTGATGCTCGTATCGAGGATCCGCATGTGAAACGAGAGATGAAGAAGCTCCCATCCTTGTTTTGAAGCATGTACACACAGTTTCCGTATCCCATGCGCATAATGTTCTCCGCGCCTTAGGAGGCCGTTTGAGCTAGTTGATCTAGAAATCTCGAGGAGCCTTGTCAGTGACGTGCGCGTGGAAAGTGAATTCAAGCCGAGTGTATGAGCCAAGATGAAAGAGCTAATCAGAGCCAAGGCTGATGAACTACAGCGACCATTGCAGGAGTAAGACAGCGAAGCTTGTCCAACGTGTATATACGGTCACCAAGACGTTTGCAGGAGCGAGAGGGTATTGGCTGACACTACCGCAAATGGCCAATCCACTGCAGTGTCATGATCATCGGTCTAGTGAGGGCATCCTGTTGCTCACTGGCCACTCTTGATAGGGTACTGGTGATCTGTTGGTGTCCTCAGACTCTTCTATGTCGTAACCGAATCGAGTCCTTTGAGGTCAGAGATCAGTTGGTCCTAGTCACGCATTCTGTTGGATTCCAGTACGGAATATACTCACCGTATCTTCAGCATTCTTGTTGATTAAACATATCAAGAGAATCGTACCGTTCGAACGCGACAGAGAAGCCTGATACCGCGCTTTAGACAGGGCAAGATGGGCACGGAAATGATTGGCGAGGCGAGCCCGAGGCGATGTACAGCTGCGCAGGACAGCACGACTCGCCGCTCGTTGCACTCATGCTCAAGACTACCGCCTTTGCTGACAGAAGGCCGAAACCACGCCTGCCTATCACCAGTCAGTGGGTGAGGCGCCGGCTGAAGCACCTCGCAATCATTACTTACTTGCTCCCATATACAAGCTTCCTGTGAAGATATTTTAACTGATCAAATGAGATCATGAACAGACAGTACGATCGTGCGATTTCGCTATACTAAAAGCGAGTGGAAAAGGAGATATATGGGACGGAATGTTGGGGTAAACTGAAAATTCAGCAAGAAGATGTGGGAACGGAAGCGATGGCGGGCACTAGATGCAAGATATGTATAGTCCAAGTGGCGCAGCGGGGCGAAGCTCGACGGGTATGGTAGTGGATAAGGGGCGGGAATGGTGGTAACATACGTGACCATGGCAGCGGCTGCGAGCCGACGGGGCGGGGGTTATGACGAGCCAAACCTGGATGTCTACAACGTAGTCAGTGATAGCGCTCGCGGCCAACATGACTAGAGCGCCACGTACTGCCAGTCCCGCATTCAGAAGATCATTCCAATCGACCCGCACGTTCTGACGGTTGGCACAAGCGATGTGCAAGGGACAATGATGGCCTCGGGGCTGTCAATGTGAGTGAGTCCCCTGAGGCAGATCTCGAGTCGAAAACATCGTGTCAGTGATGCCGAGGCAGGAGCGGAGAGGGGACATTCCCTGCGTAGACGAGTTTGTTGGCAGCAAAGGTGTTCGGCGCCGTGGACAGAATGTCTTTGCGGGTGTTGATCCGCATCTGATATCCAAAGGGGGGATCTGAGGCATGAATGGCTTCGCGTTGCGCGTCTTGCGTTTGCCTTATGACCAGGATGCCGTCCGGAGAGGGCGGGAGGGCGCTCGGGTTCAGGAGGATATCGTTGGGCACGCGACGAATGCCGTGAGTGACCGTCTGCGCCGCGTACGTCACCCAGGAGATTGCGAACATCTGACTCTCCGGCGAGCTTGAAGAGCTACTCGCCGTAAATATCGCAGACGGACATTTAATGCTGCGAAGCGACCTTTAGACCTCAACCTGTATGTTCATCATTGCTTGTTGTAGCTAAATGAAGACTGCCTTGCCTAGCTGAGGGTGCACGATCCCGACCGCGTTGCCGTCGCCGTTCAGCGCTTCGGATCTTGAGTGGGTACAAGTCGATGGTCTGAGGTCGTAGACGGCAATCGAGTCGAGTTCGTTGTGCGCAATGAACGCCTCGATGGCGCAGTGGTGATGGGTGGTTGAGAAGAACAAGGAGTGGGTTCTGGTCTGAACAGCTAGGTGCAAGAGCCGGAATATTGGACATCCGACGCGCTGACCATCGACAGCATGTTCGCCTTCGGCGCGGTGGATACGTGTCCCACACCTGTAAGGCATATGTCTTCTCATGGCAATGGGTAACTGGTGTAGTGGTCATCGCCATTCCTGCTTGCGAGAGGAGTGGAGGGGTTCGATTCCCCATGTCCTCATATGATTCAGGTAGTAGGGATTTTTTTGCAAGTTCAAAATATGTTTACTTTTACTCACATCAATTACAAGCAGGCACCGGACGTATGTGGTACACGATCAAGTCGATTTCGCTGCCTCCTCTTTGTTTCTTTGTCCTGCAGAACTGGTGGCCTTGACGCGGTCACGTGGGTTAGCAACGCAATAGATTCGTTTGTAGGTTCTGTCATGCGGTGTTACTGAACCCAGATCGTTATATGTATATATTTTTACACTGACTAGGCGCGCAATATGTACAATATCATGAAGGGGACAAGTCAATATTGAGTCAGCATTATCGTAAGTGCGCTATTCGGGTAGGCAGGGGCGGTGGCCTGACTGCGATGCCGGTTTGGACTTACGCCGAGTTGGGGAGGCGTCGCGTCGCGGGTTGCAAGAGGTGCGTTACATCGCAAGCGCATGACTGGAGAAGCCGAATCAGCGGAACTTCTGCACTCTCGCTCCATTCGCCATCCTCGCGACCGTACAAAACATCGACACGATATCGGGCAAGAACGCCACTCATTTCGACCCTTTAGTCTTGAATAGTATGCTCACAATGGTTTCAATGGCCGTATGATGGTGCTCTTGGAAAGAGATGTACAGGATGAGCGCCTACTTCCAGACAAAGGTGGCATAGAACGCGATGTAGATGCGGCATGGTGAATGATTAGCGGACGTTATCTGACACTGATACAACGGTACCGTAGACGAACGACAAGTAATATGAGGGTTAAACAGAAGGTATCAAGAAGCAGGCGTGCAGTACAGTGCTCGATGAGCCTATTAAGATTAGCCAGGTAGAATAGGGTGTATGTAAGGGAGCAAACTGAGACCGTGTTAGCCGGGGTATACGAACGAAGATTCTGGTACTTGTACATAACACATAATGTCCGAGAGATTGAATCAGATACATCTACTCATGTCGAGTGACCACACGTTGTCGCTTCACAGACGCTGGCCGGCCGACGGGGTGATCCATGCTGGGCATAGCATCAATAGCCGCATTCGCACGCTTGCGCTTGCGTTCAGCAGCCTGCACCTGTTGACCATTCGTCACTGGCACCGGTACCGCCTCCGCGACGGAAGACATCCTGCTCCTCGGGATGACTGCCTGCCCTTCGATGACTTGGGCGGTTTCCACAGACGATGCTCTGCTTCTGGTGTGACGCGAAGGAGCTGCGACGAATTGATCTTCGCGATGTCCAGCAGAATCGATAGACGACGCCCTGCTTCTGGTAAGACGTAGCGTGGGGCCAATTGTCGAAGGAGCGCTCTCCCGTTTCGACGCTTGCTCGACCTGAGGAGCAATGTCTTCCTGCCTGTGATCCCCGCTCCCCTTCACTGTTTCGTCTAACGACCCAATCCCTCCGTTCTTCTTCGCCGTTGCCGCTGCCGTTGCCTTCACCTTTGTGCGCGCCTTGTGCCTCGCCTTCCTTTTCGTTCCATGGTTCTCCACCGTTCCATCACCCCCGACCCGTCCATCTTCTGCGTTGACAAGTCCTTTCTTCCGCCCATGCTGTGAGCGGTATTGGTCGCCGTGCAGATCATCGTCCATGTCTCCTGCGAGCTGCTCGTCTGCCCTTCGACCTGCAGTCCAATCTGAGAGAGCCTCGTCCTCAACTTCGTCCGCGGCCGCGGGAGACGATTTCTCCGCCCGCGCTTCAACAATCCTGGGCATGTATGGAGTCGTCGGTGTCACCCGGGACGCGCGACGCGTCGTCTCACTGCTTGTAGACGCTCGTGCTATCTCTTCCTGGAGCGTGAGAAAACCTGTAGTCCTTCCTGACCGAGCCGATGCGTCTGAAGCGAGAAGACTATTTGGCGGCAACAGCGCAGCACGGGGAGTGGCCGCATCGTTGGAAGCGGCGAGTGTCAGAAGATGCGAGGCGGATTCGAGTTCATCGCTCGTTCTGAACTGGATTTGATGGCCCTTGTTCTCTACCATCCCTGTGTTGATATGGGGCGCGCAATTGACAGCCGTGGGGAGATCCGCCCGATACCCGTGGTAGTCTGCGCGCATAAGATGATAGCTAGGCGTCGGCAGGTCCACTTCGTACGCCGTTGTGTCGACGTCGCATTCGGTTTCTTTGTCCACGACGTCTGCCTGCATCACAGGTTGAGATGCTGGAGAACCTGCTGGTCCCTCAATGACAGAGACACCCTCAAGCTGGGGCTCGTGGTTGTTTTCAGGGAGTATGAAAGGCGCAGGGGAAGCGTTCACGAAGGGAACCGTAGCAGTACTGCTGCAGCCGATCGATGAAGAGGCCAAGGTATCATCGGGAATGGCGTGCCAGTCACCTGCAGATGCGTTCCACGGTCGAGTTTCCTCGTCTGAGGGAAACGTGCTAACCGACTCGGACGTCCCGGATTCGGCAACGGGCCGAGCTGCCTCTGCTGTCTGAATGTCCTCGCCATTGGCTACAATCTGGGGTATGTTCGTGAGCTCCAGGGCGGGGCCGGGCATCATCCGCAAAATCCCTGAAGGATATGACGATGCGCCGTGATGAGAATCCGGTACACCGAGGGCGGTCTGGATAACGCGCACTCGCTCATGCATCTCGGTCACGATGCTCAGGAAGCTGTCCACTTGGGCGCGGATGTGCGTCACATCTGCAGACACTACGCAGGTATATTAGTCGGTTTATATAAACAAAAGAATCGGGTTGCTCACTGGATCTTGACTGGACGGGCGATCTTGCACAGGGTTCCGGCGATGTCGGGGTCGATAGGGGTCCAGCCTTCCATGACGTATCGGTTTCGCAGGCTATCCCGTGCTTTGCATTAGTCTGGGCGGGTGCTCCGATAGCCTGCGCTTGGATCTTGTCGGCCAGCGATGGCGTCTCACGGGTCTGCAATGACTTGTCGACAGTGAACGAGCGCATCTCGAGGGTTTGTGATGCCTTCTCGATGGCGCGCGAGCGCGTTTCGGCGGTCTGCGAGGATTTGTTGACGGTGAACGAGGGCGTCTCTACGGTCTGCAACGCCCTTTCGACGGTCTGCAATGGCACCTCTACAGTTTGCGATGCTCTTTCGACGGTTTGCGGTGGTGGCTCCACGGCTTGTGTTGCCCTTTCAACGGACGGCGATGACATCCCAACAGCTTGTAGTGAAGTCTCGACGGTCTGCCATGGTTGCTCGGGAGCCTGCCATGGTTGCCCGGGAGCCTGCCATGGCTGCTCGGGAGCCTGCCATGGCTGCTCGGGAACCTGCGATGGCTGCTCGGGAGCCTGCGATGCCGTCTCGAGGGCCTGCGATGGCATCCCGATAGTCTGAGCATGTGCCTCAGCCGCCTGCGATAGCGACGCTAGAACCCGTGCAGGCATATCGTCGATTTCCCATGGCGAGGTGTTCAAGAAATCCTCAAAGCTCTGCAACCCCCCCGCGTCCTGGCTTTGAAACCCGACATCCATTCGAGAGGTCTCCCCCTGCATCGAATCGGCATCCCCTTGCAAGCGGAAACTCTCCCCGTACGGCTTGTAGACCGCGCTATGGGGGTCGTATAGAGCAAGGGGCGCATCCTGATTCAAGTCCGGCTGCTCTACGTCGTGGCCCATGACTGGCTCATTGTTCTCTTGCTTGACGAAAGCAGGGACTTGGACTTCATGACAACGAGGATACACCGCCAGGTACTCGTCTTCCGAAGCGTAGTAAGGAGGCACCTTCGTAAACAACGACGTTGCTTCGCTGACATCAAACGCTGGGTCTTTCGCAAAGTCTTTGTGGTTGATCTGACCTATAGAGGCGTATCTATGAGCGCGAAATCCGTCGTCTCGAGATGTACACCGACGGACCCCACCGGACGTACCATCTTCATCAATAAAGTCCGGCCATTCCTTCAGAATGCCTCGGTCGAGGAGCTTTTGCAGGAAATTCACCCGGACGTGCAACTCCGGAGTCCTCAACTGCGGTTTCGTGCCTCGAAATCCATTTGGATGCAGGAAACGAACATTGTCTCCAATTTTGATCTTCTGACCAGCAGCTGTACACTTCGTAGATTTCAGGTAGCACGACGCGCAAGCTCCGCCGATGGAGGTTCTGTTCGGGCGAAATATACATCTCATTTGCTCTTTATGACAATGCTTACAAGGGATCTGGAGGGCGATTCAGTGCGTGCATCCCCTCACAGGGTCGGTTCGAACTCACGACGTATACAGACAAGTCCGCCTGACGCATCCCATGCATCTCTGGTAACTGGAAAAGACTGAATAGATCCAGATGCTGGCCGGGTTCAAGATGGTCGAAGACCTGCTCCGCCGGGCGGTCGGGCGTGTACCGCACGCCGCGCACGTACCACGTAGCGGGGTTCCGAGACCTCTCGTGGAACGTCGTTGCTGACTTTGGCTTCATCTTCGGCTTCTCTTTGAAGGGTTGTTGTTTCGGCACAAGCTCTGGTCGGTGCTGCAACTCTTCGTCGTCGCTGACATCGATGGCTCGGACTTTACTATTGTCTTTCTCGCACTTGAGACCGACAAAGAACGCATTGCCATCTGGTAGGTCATGATTGACAGCGCTGGTCATGAGGCGTGCAACTCCGGGCGACGCGCGTGAATTATGCAATGAGGTGTCCTTCCCGCGGGTGCGATCTGCCTGCCACTGACGGAAGTGCGCAGAGGAGTGGCGACCATCTGGTGGCGGAAGGGATTCGAGTGCAGGGCTCTCTATCTTCACACCTGACGCAAGCTGGCTCGGTCGCGAGAACATTGTACCGGGTGGATTCGCCGGGGCCAAGACCTCTGGCTCACTCTCAGGCTCCTGGTCTGCACGTATAGGCCAAACATTTAATGACAGATATCTCGCGAGGAGTAGTGTACACACCAATGTAGTCCCACCATCGAGCATCTCCATACCACATGCGAATGTCTTTTGCGCCCTCACAATCCAAAGCCGCATCCACCGCGCGCGTAAACCTTCTCCTTGAAGTTAAGAGTGCAGGGTCGCCCGCTTTTGAGACGATCAGAGTCATCATCGCGGCGACTGTTGGATGGGGGCTTTTGAGAGGAAAGTTCTAGGCGAGCATTACTGTTCGTGTCCAAAGTCACAAGAGAGCCGTGGACTAACCGCCTCTTGTATAAGAAGCTCATAACCCTTCTTCGCCATCTCAAGTGATGCTACGCCAAGCAACCTCTCCAGTATGGACCTGATCCGCGATGCGTAGACCCCTTTACGCTCCTCAGCTGATTTCCCACTGTAGACTTCCTGCAGTCTCGGGCCGAGTATGTGGTTGCGCCAGGTGTCAAGTAGAGTGGTGTTATGTTCCATGGTATTATGTTGAGGAAAACAAGTAGCGACGGACAACGAGTAGGGACAGGCGTTCGAGTTTGTGTGAGTAGTGAGAGCACAACGGAGCCCCCGTTTGCCCATGTCGGCTGGGAATGCATGGGCTGCACGTGATCTCAGCCCCAATCGTAGTGCAGACTATACCCGTTTCGAACCCATAGTTTACGAGCTGGTGTTTAGTTTTGCACCCGTCTTTCAAGATAAATACGAAGCTGGAAAAGGATAGTCTTGTGAATTTGCATACTGTGCCGGGCTCTAGCTCGACTCAATGTACCTCATGCTACGTACAGCAACTGTCGGAAGTGTTGGAGTAGGGTCGGAGAAACATCGAGCTTTGGGAGAGAGGGAAGAATACCATATAGAGTATCAGGGTGAGGATGAGGGTAGACGCGCGGCGGCGACGCGGGCACTTCGTCTCGAACAGAGACCACGCGACGTACGCAGGGTGAGATCGAAGCGAAGAGCGAGAATGATACACACCTTTACTTGAAGTTCTGAGTTCGATCCACACAAGTAATCCGTTGTGGCGTCGAGTGCGACGTCCTCTCGTCTTCGCAGGTGATAAAAGAAGTATTCCTGGATATCATTGAAGGGGCGCACGCAGCCATCTGAGGTTCTTTGCGCTGCATGGTACAATCAGACGCATTGAGTAGTCATATAGTGCGTCCGGCCCAGCCTTCCACGTTTTATCAGGCAAATGCCGACAAACCTGATTCGAGCACGGTATAGGAATACGTTGCACCTGGGCGTATCTTCGCTAAACACACGTCGCTGGGAGAGAATACCTGTGGTTTCGTTCGCAGCTTCTAATTATCTGCGTTCACCGATCCCTTCCCTATAATCTTGTGATACACATGACTACGTCGTACAAAGCTGATATCACATTGGCGAAAGAGCAAGGCAGGACGGGCCGACACAACCTGGAGGGACGCGGCGACGTCGCGAATCAATGTATGCGAAGCAGTCTCAAGTACGTCACGCAATTGACCTGGACCACATCGAAGCGGTAGACTTGAAGCCTCTCGTGACCTCCCTTATTCTCCCTGTTCGCATTCCCAGTCGCCCTACCGGCATCCTGTCGACCTTCGCTCGTGGCACTCATGTGCTCCGGCGTCTTGATCGAATGTCTAACTCGACTTTGAACGCGCTCCAGAAGTGTGGCGGATGACCACATGCAGATGGGCTCGAAAATACCTAACGCAAGTGGTGAGGACCGACATACTCTTCCACAAGTGGCATCGCGACATTCATCGTGTTGTTTTGCCGAAAGCATTGTGTACGCGTACAGAGGCATCGCCACTGTCGACACGAGCCCGCGAGCGGTACTGATGGCGCATCGCTTCCCCAGAGCCCCAATGCACAACTTCGTGATTGTGCGCAGCGTGACGCGTGCCCGATGACTGTGCGATCCGTGGAACAAGGGTAGCAGAAGGCAGCTCGGTTGGGCATGGCGGAAACCAGTAGGTGTTGTCTACGGGGCCGTCAGCAACGTGCGGATACAGGTGTGTGGTGTGAGCACATACTTTCACCAGTTCAAGGTCCGCGTGCGGTAAACTCGTCATTGACAGCAGCATTCCACGTCCCAGTACGCACCGAACTCCAGCTTGCTGAGACGGGGCGGCGAGCGTATCCATGACAGCGTTGAATCCGTCGAGCTGTAAGTTATCTTCAGAGACCGATAAGATGAATGCCATGGACGAAGGCGTGGCTCGAGGTACAATCCCATGATGTCGAGTAGATCCAGGAAAGATGACACATTGGCCATGAATTCGTGTATGAGCTCGCCCGCGATGCTCAGACGCGATGACAAGAGTGGCCGAACGTGAGAAATCAGTGATAAGAATGGCATGCACAAACTCGGGCATTGTAGTCGAG